GGTGAAACCCTGTCTCTACTGAAAATACAAAAAAAATTACTGGGCGTGATGGTGTGCGTCTATAATCCCAGCTACTCAGGAGGCCGAGGCAGGAGAATTACTTGAACCTGGGAGGCAGAGGTTTCAGTGAGCTGAGATCACACCACTGCACTCCAGCCTGGGTGACAGAGCAAGACTCTGTCTCAAAAAAAAAGTTGTGCTTCCTATGTACGTATTCCACAGTTCTTGGTGGGGAACTTGAGTCAAAAAAGTTTCTCTCAGGACAAATGGTATTTGGAGAGCTTAGGGAGGATGCGGCAGATTCCTTGGTTTTTCTTGGACCCTTGGCTTGAGATTTATATTGCCTTGTGTGAGCCAACAGATATTCTGAGATTACCTTCTTTTCTGTATCTTATTCTTTCCCTCCCTTGAACATTCTGTGCTACCTCTGCCTCTCTTACATTCTCTTTCTATCTTATTTCTGGTTCTCCAAACACATGGACTTTCATTCCTCATACCTCTGCCTTCCTATGATTCAGCTCATTATATTTATTTTCTTAATGGAGCATCCTTTAAGTTCCTTGCCATTTATTCTTAAAAGTAGACACTTGTTGGCCGGGCGCAGTGGCTCAAGCCTGTAATCCCAGCACTTTGGGAGGCCGAGACGGGCGGATCACGAGGTCAGGAGATTGAGACCATCCTGGCTAACACGGTGAAACCCCGTCTCTACTAAAAAATACAAAAAAAGGCCGGGCGCGCTGGCTCAAGCCTGTAATCCCAGCACTTTGGGAGGCTGAGACGGGTGGATCACTTGAGGCCAGGAGTTCGAGACCAGCCTGGCTAACATGGTGAAACACCGTCTCTACTAAAAATACAAAAATTAGTCGGACAGTGTGGTGTGCGTCTATAATCCCAGCTACTCAGGAGGCCGAGGCAGGAGAATTGCTTGAACCTGGGAGGCAGAGGTTTCAGTGAGCTGAGATCACACCACTGCACTCCAGCCTGGGTGACAGAGCAAGACTCTGTCTCAAAAAAAAAGTTGTGCTTCCTATGTACGTAGAGTCATATACCTATTAAGTGTGGTCTAGAAATTTATTTTTCCTTCTCAGATTGGTGTCTCCACTGTGCCTGGCTCCCTATTTCCGATTACTGAGACTTTGTGTGGAGAGACAGCATAACGGAAACTTGGAGGAGATTGATGGTCTACTAGGTATAGGATGAAGTCATCAGATCCTTTCTTCTTTGTACTCTTTCTTTGGTAAACTTAGGGAAAGGGCATATCAGTACATGGTATATGTGGGAAGGAATAATTTTTTAACCTCAACAGAGTAGTTTAGCATTGGAATTCCAAAGACAAAATAGTGCATACAGAATCCCATTATGTTAACAAATCAATTGTTACAAAAACTTTTAATTATATTTGTTGATTGCTATATGATATGCAAATATTTTAATCAGATCTTGGCCTTCAAATATGAGTTAAAGGGGAAAGTAAATAGCAAGCAGAGCTAGCTCCAGAGGCAACCTCCAGGTTTTATTGGCTTGCACTAAAGGTAGTTGGAAATGTTTGTTCTCTCTCAGATTGTCCTATATTCCTAACTGACCTGGAGCCTGGAGAGAGGCTGGAGTCCATGTCTGCTAAAGAGCGTGCATTCATGTGTTCTCTCCTATTTCTTACTCTCAACTGGTTCCGAGAGGTAAGCAGAGTTAATAGGATGTTTCGCTTATTGTCCGTAGTTTTTCTCAAAACTATTTTCTTAGTTCTCGCGAGATTCCCTAGAAGTCTTCACCAAGCACTAACCCCCTTGTGCTTCTCTAGCTGTTATGTCCCACCACTCCCCAATTATATGATCCTCCTTATGTAGCCAAATCAGAATACTTAGAATTCACTTCACATTGCCCACGTTTTATTTCCTCCAAGCTGCCTTCTGCCTAGAATGACCTTTTCACCTTCTTCACTGTAGAACTACTGTCCATCCTAGCACAGGCATATGCCTACTGTTTTGATTCAGTGAGTGGTGGTAGTTTCCCTCCCATTAGAACATATTTGTGTTTAGTGATAATGACAATGATGACAACATCTTATGTCTCTATCTCACTGACTTCCTCTCACATGTTATTTCAGGAATGTTTATGCACTTGAATGAGCTTATTTGATTACCACATCTCTATTGTGATATGGGCAGGAATACTATTGTCCTCATTTTACACAAATGAATTTCAAGTATAGGGAGTTCAAAGTCATTAAAAATTTTTAAGTACTTACACTGTACCAAGTGCTGGACTCATTTCTTTATGAAGAAAATCTTAGAAAGGTTAAAGACTCAGCAAAGGTCACACAGTTAGTAAGGAGCAGAATAGAACTTGTTTCACCAAATTATGTGCTCTCTGGCTATTCCAGCTTGTAACATAACTAGTAATAAGTAAAACTAGGGTCACAAGCATAATCTCCTTCACTTTTTGTTTTTTTGAGATGGAGTCCTGCTGTGTCACCCTGGCTGGAGTGCAGTGGCTCAATCTCGGCTCACCGCAACCTCCGTTTCCCAGGTTCAGGCAGTTCTCCTGCCTCAGCCTCCCTAGTAGCTGGGATTACAGACATGTGCCACCATGCCCAGCTAATTTTTGTATTTTTGGTAGAGATGGGCTTTCACCATGTTGGCCAGACTGGTCTCGAACTCCTGGCCTCAAGTGATCCTCCTGCCTTGGCCTCCCAAAGTGCTGGAATTATAGACGTGAGCCACCGCGCCTGGCTGAATCTCCTATATTTTGGCCCAGAAATTATTTTTCTCTATACCACCTTGCTGAGGACAGTTCTATTACAGACTAAACTCAAAGATCCTGCTTTTCATAGACATCTCTCAGCTCTGGATAAATAATACAAACAAGGTTAAAATCTGAACATTTGGAAGTATGACAGTGTAATTTGTACTTTGCAGATTGTGAATGCCTTCTGCCAGGAAACGTCACCTGAGATGAAGGGGAAGGTGCTCACCCGGTTAAAGCACATTGTAGAACTGCAAATAATCCTGGAAAAGTACTTGGCAGGTAAGGGACATGTCCTATACTGGTAGTCCTACTAGGCCAGTAGTGAGGCAATAAAGTGCTTAGCTTTCCCTGATACCAAAACCAGACAAAGACACATCAAAAAAAGAAACCTCAGCTGGGTGTGGTGGCTCATGCCTGTGATCCCAGCACTTTGGGAGGCCAAGACGGGCAGATCATGAGGTCAGGAGATCGAGACCATCCTCACTAACACGGTGAAACCCTGTCTCTACTGAAAATACAAAAAAAATTAGCCGGGCGTAGTGATGGGCACCTGTAGTCCCAGCTACTTGGGAGGCTGCGGCAGGAGAATGGTGTGAACCCAGGAGGCGGAGCTTGCAGTGAGCCAAGATCACGCCACTGCACTCCAGCTTGGGTGACTGAGAGAGACTCCTCAAAAAAAAAAAAAAGAAAAGAAACCTCAGGCCAATATACCTGACGAATGTTGATACAAAAATCCTAACAAAATACTAGCAAACCTAATTCAGCAACACATTAAAAATATCGGCCAGGCGCAAGGTGGCTCATGCCTGTAATCCCAGCACTTTGGGAAGCCAAGGCAGGTGGATCACTTGAGGTCAGGAATTTGAGACCAGCCTGGCCAACATGGTGAAACCTTGTCTGTACTAAACATACAAAAATTAGCTGGGCGTGGTTGTGGGCACCTGTAATCCCAGCTACTCGGGAGGCTGAGACAGGAGAATCGCTTGAACCTAGGAGGCGGAGGTTGCAGTGAGCCAAGATTGCGCCACTGCACTCCAGCCTGGGTGACAGAGCAAGACTCCCATCTCAAAAACAAACAAAAAAAAGATCATTCATCATGGCCAAATGGGATGATTTATCCCAGGGATGCAAGGATTGTTCAGCATACATAAATCAATGTGATACATCCTATCAACAGAATGAAGGACAAAAGCCACCTGATATTTAACTTGATGCTTAAAAAAATTTTTTTAAATTCAACTTCCCTTCATCATAAAAAAAGTCCCTCAGAAAACTGGGTATAGACCCATAGCTACTATTAAACTGAACAGGGAAAAACTGAAAGCCTTTCCTCTAAGATCTGGAACAAGACAAGGATACCCACTTATATAATACCACTATTATACAATACAGTATTGGAAGTCCAAGCTAGAACAATTAAGAGAAAGAAAGGAAGGGCACCAAATTATAAAGGAAAATGTTAAATTATACTTGTTTGCAGATATGATCTTATATTTGGAAAAGCCTAAAGACTTCATTAAAAAACTGTTAGATAAATTTAGTAAAGTTGCAAGATACAAACTCATCATATAAAAATGAGTAGCATTTCTGTATACCAACAACTAAGAATCTGAAAAATATCAAGAAAGTAATCCATTCACAATAGCTACAAATAAAACAAACAAAAGTTACAAATAAAATAGGAATAAACTTAACCAAAGAAGTGAAAGAGCACTACAATGAGAACTATGAAACGTTGATGCAAGAAATTGAAGAGCAAATAAAAAAAGGAAAGATACTTCATGTTCATGGATCGGAAGAATTAATAGTGTTAAAATTTCCATACTACCCAATACAATCTACAGATTCAAGGTAATCCCTATCAAAATACCAATGAGATTCTTCACAGAAATAGAAAAAAAAAAATCCTAAAATTTATTTATAGAACCACTGAAGACCCAGAATAGCCAAAGCTGTCCTGAGTAAAATGAATGAAACTGGAGGAATCACATTACCTGACTTCAAATTATACTACAGAGCTATAGTAACCAAAACAGCATGGTGCTGGCATAAAAACAGATGCATACACCAGTGGAACAGAAGAGAGCCCAGAAATAAATCCATATACCTACAATGAACTCATTCTAAGCAAAGGTGCCAAGAATATACATTGGGGAAGGACACTGTCTTCAATAAATGGTGTTGGGAAAACTGGACATCCATGTGCAGAAGAATGAAACTAGACCCCTATCTCTTGCCATATAGAAAAATCAAAACGGATTGTAGACTTAAATCTAAGACTTCAAATTATGAAACTACTAACAACAACAATAACAAAAAACATTCAGAAAACTCTTCAGGACATTAGAGTGGACAAAGATTTCTTGAGGAATACCGTACAAACACAGGCAACCAAAGCAAAAATGGACAAATTGGATCACATTAAGTTAAAAAGTTAAGTTCCTTTCCTCTGCATAGCAAAGGAAACACCAAAGTGAAGACACAGCCCACAGAAGGGGAGAAAATATTTGCAAACTATGTACTGACAAGGGATTAATAACTAGAATATATAAAGATAGGAAAAAAATTTATTTGGATTGAAAAATGGGTAAAAGGTCTGAATAGACATTCCTCAAAACAAGACATACAAATGGTGGATATATGAAAAGGTGCTAAACATCACTAAGCATCAGAGAAATGCAAATCAAAACTGCCATGAGATATCATCTCACCCTAGTTAAGATGGCTTTTATCCAAAAGACAGGCAATAACAAATGCTGGTGAGAATATGGAGAAAAGAGAACCTTTGTACGCTGTTGGTGGGAATGTAAATTAGTACAGGCACTATGGAAAACAGTTTGGAGTTTCCTCAAAAAACTAAAAATAGAATCACTATATGATCCAGGAATGCCACTGATAGGTGTATACCCAAAAGAAAGGAAATCAGTATACCAAGGAGATATCTGCACTCCCACGTTTATTGCAGTGCTCTTCACAATAGTCAAGATTTGGAAGCAACCTAAGTGTCCATCTGTGGGTGAATGGATAAAATGTGGTACATATACACAATGGAGTACTATTCAGCCATAAAAAACAATGAGATCCTGTTTGCAATAATACAGATGGAATTGGAGGACATTATGTTAAGTGAAATAGGCCAGGCACAACATATTTTCACATATTTGTGGGAGCTGAAAATTAAAATAATTTGACTCATGGAGATAGAGTAGAAGGATGGTTACCAGAGGCTGGGGAGGGTAATGGTGGTTGGGGGACTAGGAAAAATGGTAGGGTGGTTAATAGGTTCAAAAATATAGTTAGATAGAATGAATAAGATCCTTACTACAACCTCTGCCTCCTGGGTTCAGGCAGTTCTCCTGCCTCAACCTCCCGAGTAGCTGCTATTACAGGCACCTGCCAGCACACCCGGCTCATTTTTGTAGTTTTGGTAGAGACAGGGTTACACCATGTTGGCCAGACTGGTGTCAAACTCCTGACCTCAGGTGATCCACCCGCCTTGGCCTCCCAAAGTGCTTGGGATTACAGGCGTGAGCCACCCTGCCTGGCCACCATTTAGATTTTAAATGTTTGTTTTAGTTTTTATCTGTTTGTTAGTTATGTATCATTATTTAAAGTTGTTTTATGATAATTGATCATAATATGATATTTCTGTGTTATCTCTGGCCATTTTGCTATGCCAAAGCAATGTCAGATGACTTGAATATGTCTTATAAGCATTCAGCCACACTTGGTAATTTTGGAAACTAGTTTTTAGCCAATGGAGTGACTGAATTTCAAGTCTAATGGTGGTGTGTAATTGGTACTCATTGAGCTTCAACCTGCTCTTTGTTTCAGTCACCCCAGACTATATCCCTCCTCTTGGAAACTTTGACGTGGAAACTTTAGATATAACACCTCATACTGTTACTGCTATTTCAGCAAAAATCAGAAAGAAAGGAAAAATAGGTAAGTATGTTCTTTTCCTCGTCTTCTGTCTCTAAATGAGCTGCATTGAATTAACCTAAAAGTTATGTGTATCATGGCATAAATAATTGGAGCAATTGTATAACTGAACCCTTTGTTAGATTTATAAATACACTGTAATTTAGGGTTATAAAATTACCTCTTCTACCTCTAGGCAGTTCCCAACAGGTTGTTTTCTGAGGGCAATGATATTTGGCTGACATGATTATTAATTACTTGAGTCATTTTTCTCTTTTTAATATAAAAGAAAGGAAACAAAAAGCAGATGGTAGCAAGACATCCTCCTCTGACACAATTTCAGAAGAGAAAAATTCAGAATGTGACCCTACACCATCTCATAGAGGCCAGCTGAACAAGGTATTGGACTGATGGGTATCCATGAAGGTTTGTGACATCCAAATGAGAGTAGCAGAACCCCAACTTTATTCTCTGCATTTTACAAAGAAAAAGAAAATTAGGAAACAGCAAGCCAAAACTCTCTTAGGCCTTGGAGTAATCTCCTTAGTAGCAAAGTTCAGATTAGACTATAGGTCCTTATTCCTGCCACACACTGTTGACTGTTTTTTCTAATTATTTTCTTGACTGTTTTAGTCCCTTTTTTGTACCCCAGCAATACATTGAATTCTCTCTTGAGGTACTTGATTATCATTAGTTCCCTTTTACTTTACATTTGTACTGTTCGCAGAATGAGTTTCATGTGTTTGAAATTGCCTGGACCACATGGATCCCAATTATTTCTGTTTATCAGCTACCATTTATTGTGTATTTATTAGGTATAGTTTCTCTAAGAGCCCAAGTTTAATATTAATACCACATTTAATGAATAAGGAAACTAAGACCCAGGGAAGACAAGTGCCCAAAGTCACACAGTTAATAAATGCTGGAGCTAGGATTTGAAGCCAGACCATTCTGGCCCCTAAGCTCACAGTTTTTTTTCTTTTCTTTTTTTTTTTTTCCTGAGATAGAGTCTCGCACTGTCACCCAGGCTGGAGTGCAGTGGTGCCATCTCGGCTCACTGCAACCTCCACCTCCTGGGTTCAAGTGATTCTCCTACCTCAGCCTCCCGAGTAGCTGGGACTACAGGCATACACCACCACACCCAGCTAATTTTTATACTTTTAGTAGAGACGGGGTTTCACCATCTTGGCCAGGCTGGTCTCAAACTCCTGACCTCGTGATCCACCTGCCTCAGCCTCCCAAAGTGCTGGGATTACAGGCATGAACCACCATGCCCGGCCAGCTCACAGTTTTCTACACTAGACCTAAATGCCTTGATTTGCCTAATAGATCATCCCTAAATAGAAACCAGCTAAGGGTCTTGATGTGTGACTTGTATCCCCATCTTAAATTAGGTGCTCTGTCTTGGGAATATTTAGGGACTTTTGCTAGAGAAATTTGTTATTATAATAAAAATGTAATTTTTTGCATTAAATAAATGCATATTTGCACTTTGAAGTTTTTATTAAAATTTGATTAATATAGAAGATTGATTTATTCTCTTTGTTGCCGTGACTTCCCCATAGGAGTTCACAGGGAAGGAAGAAAAGACATCATTGTTACTACATAATTACCATGCTTTTTTCCGAGAGCTGGACATTGAGGTCTTCTCTATTCTACATTGTGGACTTGTGACCAAGTTCATCTTAGATACTGAAATGCACACTGAAGTAAGTGACAGGCTAGGATCTCAGAATTTAATCTTCTTTCAGAAAGTTCCTCAGGTCTATTCTTATTTCACAAAGAACACTGTGACACTGAGGAGAGAAGTTAGACTGACTGTATAAGCCTTTATATGTGAAAGTAATGATGAATAATCATCCTTATCATATTGGTGTTTGTAAGTCATAAGGATTTTAAAAATGTGTCAGACATAAAATATGCCAATGATGTGATCCTTACGTTTAGGTTACTACTACTACTACTACTACTATTACTACTACTACTACTACTACTACTACTACTACTACTACTACTGCTAATAAGCTACTTAGATTATTTTTGTAGAGGAGCACTTTTCTGGTTCTTAGAGGTCATTGCCCTTTTCACTTTTTCACATTTGTTCAGCACCCGACAGATGCTTACTGAGTCCTATTTTGTGTCTGCCACTAATCAAGGTACTTGCATTTTAGTAGTACATAGAGCATGATGCTTGCCTTCAAATAGCTTCTAATCTAATCGAAGAAGTGGAAATAGCTAGCAGTACCATAGCTTTATTATTATTAATTTTTTTAATAGTTCAGACAGTGAGGTCCACATTGAAAAAAACCAGGGACACTTAGTCTACAAGTCCCCAAGACAAACAGTCAAATACAGCCTCCTTTCTCAGCTACAGTAAAGAAACCACCAAGGCTAGACTTAAAATTGAACCCATATTCCTTAGGGCCTGTTTTAATTGCTTTTGTAAAATAATTTTCTCTAGAGGCAGCCCATCTCATCCCAAATAAGACTGTTTCTCCACTCCTCCACAGGCAGAACCTCTCACTTCTTTTTTTTTTTTTTTTTTGAGACGGAGTCTCGCTCTGTGGCCCAGGCTGAAGTGAAGTGGCGCGATCTCCATTCACTGCAAGCTCTGCCTCCTGGGTTCACGCCATTCTGCTGCCACTTCAGCCTCCCGAATAGCTGGGACTACAGGCGCCCGCCACCTTGCCCAGCTAATTTTTTGTATTTTTAGTAGAGACGGGGTTTCACTGTTGTTAGCTAGGATGGTCTCGATTTCCTGACCTTGTGATCCACCCACCTTGGCCTCCGAAAGTGCTGGGATTACAGATATGAGCCACTGCACCCAGCCATATTTTTTTTTTATCTTTCTACATCATCTCACCCTTAGGAGATTCCACATAAATGTTTATTGAGTGAGCAGTTTGCAATGAGACTGTATTTCACCCATTCTGCTTCTGGCAGTGTAATGTAGTTATTACACTGGGATCACTCTGGGATCCTGCCCAGAGTTAATAGGAGCAAAACATTAGAGGAAGAGAAGTATGAAAGGATTATTTAATGAACAGACAAAAGTGAAATTCCTTTGAATTAGTCTTTTTTTTTTTTCCCAAACTCTGCTTGTGGCATTCAAAGTCATTTTTTTAATCACAGGATATTTAGGAAATGCGTCTTGGATCCACAACTGGAAAGGTATACAGAGGAATTTATAGAGAAAAAGTATGTCTTCTAAACTATACTGTCTTGAATTCTTATTTTACTATTCAGAATATTTATTTTGGACATGCTTGACTTTATTATATGACAGAGCATAATAGCTATCCTTTATATGAGATGGGTGCAATTTCCTCCTTTGCCTCTTTTTTCTTTTTAGAGACAGAGTCTTGCTCTGTCACCCAGGCTAAAGTGCAGTGGCAAGATCATAGCTCACTGCAACCTTGAACTCCTGGATTCAACGATCAAGTGATTCTCCCACCTTAGCCTTCCAAGTATCTAGGGCCACTGGCATGCCCAACTACACCCAGCTAGTTTTTTTGTTTGTTTGTTGGAGACAGAGTCTTGCTCTGTCCATCAGGCTGGAGTACAGTGGCGGGATCTTGGCTCACTGCAGCCTCTTCCTCCTGAGCTCAAGCGATTCTCCTGCCTCAGCCTCCCAAGTATCTGCGATTACAGGTGCCCACCACCACATTGGCTAATTTTTGTATTTTTAATAGAGAGGGGATTTCACCATATTGGCCAGGCTGGTCTCAGACTCCTGACGTCAAATGATCTGCCCTCCTTGACCTCCCAAAGTACTGGGAGTTTGAGACCAGCCTAGGTAACACAGTGAGACCTGTCTCTACAAAAAGTAAAAAAAAAGAAAAAAAAAAATAGCCAAGCGTGGTGACGCACACCTGTGATCCCAGCTACCTGGGCAGCTGAGGTGGGACCATCACTTGAGTCCAGAAGGTTGAGGCTGCAGTGAGCTGTGAACACAATATTGCACTCCAGCCTGAGCAACAGAGCAAGACCCTGTCTCAAAAATAAGTAAATAAATAAATAAAAGTCAAATTATTTACCCGGCCAGGCGCAGTGGCTCACACCTCTAATCACAGCACTTTGGGAGACCGAGACAGGTGTATCACCTGAGGTCAAGAGTTTGAGACCAACCTGGCCAATGTGATGAAACACGTCTGTACTAAAAATACAAAAATTAGGCTGGTGGTGGGCACCTGTAATCCCAGCTGCTTGGGAGGCTGAGGCAGGAGAATTGCTTGAACCTGGGATGCAGAGCTTGTAGTGAGCCAAGATCATGCCACTGCCCTCCAGTCTAGGAGACAGAACAAGACTCTGTCTCAAAAAAAAATTTTTTTTTCACCCATTGGAAAGTATTAACATGAAATAGCCAGGTGTGGTGGCTCATGCCTGTCCATAATCCCAATACCTTGAGAGGCCAAGGCAGGAGGTTTGCTTGAGCCCAGGAGTTTGAAACCAGCCTGGGCAACAAAGTGAGACCCCATCTGTGTAAAAAAAATTTAAAAATTAGCTGAGCCCAGGTGTGCTGGTCATACCTGTAATTCTGTCACACTGGGAGGCTGAGGCAGAAGGATCATCTGAGCGCAGGAGTTTGAGACCAGCTCGGGCAATATACTGAGACCTCATTTCTTATTAATTTAAAAAAAAAAAAATGTAGCTGGGCATGGTTTCATGTGCCTGTAGTCCCAGCTACTCAGGAGGCTGAGATGAGAGGATAACTTGGGCCCAGGAGTTCAAGGCTGGAATGGCTATGATCTTGCCACTGCACATTTACAAAAAAGAAAGAAAGAAAAAAAATTATCATGAAATGACTAGGACATTCTTGGAACTAATCCTTTCCTCCATGTGACAGGCGACAGAAGTTGTGCAACTTGGGCCCGCTGAGCTACTTTTCTTGCTAGAAGATCTCTCCCAGAAGCTGGAGAATATGCTGACACCTCCTATTGCCAGGAGAGTCCCCTTTTTCAAGGTTAGTATAGGCAGAAGCAGATGACTTGGGCTTAGTGGATTTGGGAACAAAGAAGGTATTAGTGATGAAAAAGTTGTCACTTTCTCTGGCTTTGTGTTTGGGTCACTGTGTAGCATGGGTGCAGCCGTATTGCCAGACAGTATTCATCTTGCTTTATTTATTTATTTATTTTGAGACAGAGTCTCACTCTGTCACACAGGTTGGAGTGCAGTGAAGTGATCTCAGCTCACGGCAAGCTCCGCCTCCCGGGTTCATGCCATTCTCCTGCCTCAGCCTCCCAAGTGTCTGGGACTACAGACACCCACCACCACGCCTGGCTAATTTTTTTAGTAGAGACGGGGTTTCACCATTTTAGCCAGGATGGTCTCAATCTCCTGACTTCATGATCCACCCCCCTTGGACCCCCAAAGTGCTGGGATTACAGGCGTGAGCCACCAACGCCCGGCCTCATCTTGCTTTAAAAAGGAAGTCTGAAAGCTGGGCCCGATGGCTCATGCCTGTAATCCCAGCACTTTGGGAGGCCGAGGAGGGCAGATCACTTGAGTTCAGGAGTTCGAGACCAGCCTGGCCAACATGGTGAAACCCCATCTCTACTAAAAATACAAAAAGAACTAGTAGGCATGGTGGTGCAGCTATATAGTCCCAGCTACTTGGCAGGCTGAGGCATGGGGAGGCGGAGGTTGCAGTGAGCTGAGATTGCACTACCGCACTCCAGTCCGGGCGGCAGATTTCGTCTCAAACAAACAAAAAGTCTACCTGTGCAGTGGCTCACACTTGTAATCCCAGCACATTAGAAGGCCGAGGCAGGTGGATCACCTGAGGTCAGGAGTTTGAGACCAGCCTGGCCAACGTGGCAAGAGCCTGTCTCTACTAAAAATACAAAAATAATTAGCCAGGTATGGTGGCGCATGCTTGTAGTCCCAGGTACTTGGGAGACTGAGGCAGAAGATTTGCTTGACCCCAGGAGGTAGACGCTGCAGTGAGCCAAGATCATGCTACTGCACTCTAACCTGGGCATTAGAATGAGACTCCGTCTCAGAAATTAAAAAAAAATAAAAAAAAAAAAAGGAAGTCTGAAACAGAAAATAGAAAGGCACTTGGAATAAGAAATGTATTTCTTTTTTTGAGACAGTCTCGCTCCGTTGCCCAGGCTGGAATACAGTGGCACGATCTCGGCTCACTGCAGCCTCTGCCTCCTGGGTTCAAGCAATTCTCATGCCTCAGCCTCCTGAGTAGCTGGGGACTAGAGGCGCGCACCACCATGCCCAGCTAATTTTTGTATTTTTAGTAGAGAAGGGGTTTTAACATGTTCGTCAGGCTGATCTCAAACTTCTGACCTCATGATCCGCCCACCTCGGCCTCCCAAAGTGCTGGAATTACAGGCGTGAGCACCACGCCCGACCTACGAAGTGTATTTCTAAATGCCCTAAACATTCCTGAATCCTGTTCTTTACTTGAATTTTGGTTTCAACAGCCTCCCAAACTAAGCCCGGGCCCATGCCTCAATGTAGTAGTAAGCTGTCTAGAGCGGCCAGAACTTCAGATGTGTATGTAGTGTACGAACATGCACCTAATATCCGGGGAAGCAGTTGGATGGTGCATATAACTAAATAAGAAAATCTTGGATATAAGCATTTTAAACATCAATATATCTAGTTTCTTGATTCCTTCTTCTTTTTTTTTTTTTTTTTGAGTTGGAGTCTTCCTCTGTTGCCAGGCTGGAGTGCAGTGACTTGATCTTGGCTCACTGCAACCTCCGCCTCCCAGGTTCAAGCGATTCTCCTGCCTCAGCCTCCCAAGTAGCTGGGACTACAGGCACACGCCACCATGCCCGGCTAATTTTTTTATTTTTAGTAAAGACGGGGTTTCACCATGTTGGCCAGGATTGTCTCAATCTCTTGACCTCGTAATCCGCCTGCCTCAGCCTCCCGAAGTGCTGGGATTACAGGCGAAAGCCACAGTGCCCAGCAATTCATTCTTCTTTGTATTCACTATTGGCTCTACTTTTTGAGACAGGGCTTTGCTATATTGCCCAGGCTGGAGTGTAGTGGCACAATCTTGGCTCACTGAAACCTCCACCTCCTGGATTCAAGTAATCCTCCCACCTCAGCCTCCTGAGTAGCTCGGAGTATAGGCATGTGCCACCACACTCAGCTAATTTTTGTATTTTTTGTAAATAAGAGTTTCAGCATGTTGCCCAGGCTTTTACATTTTTTTTATTTGTTTGTTTTTCAATTATAAGAGGGAGGCAGGACACAGTGGTTCATGCCTTTAACCCCAACACTTTGGGAGGCCAAGATGGTGGATTGCTTGAGCTCAGGCGTTCGAGACCAGCCTGGGCAATGTGGTTAAACCCCATCTCTACAAAAATTACAAAAACTAGCCATGTTTGTTGGCATGTGCCTGTGGTCTCAGCTACTTGGGAGGCTGAGGTGAGAGGATCACTTGAACCCAGGAATTCAAGGCTGCAGTGAGCTGTGATCGTGCCACTGCACTCCAGCCTGGGTGACAGAGCAGAACCTTGTCTCAAAAAGAAAAAAAAAAAGTTATAAGAAGGAGTCGATTGCTCTACATTTGTCAACCTAAATGATTTCTACTTTTATGTGACCTTTATCTGATTAGTTATGATAGGGCTATATGTCTCAATCAAACACTGTTCCTCCTCTACAAAAGCCAATCTCTCAGTCATTAGAAGATGGAGCAAGATTTTTATCCCTCTGTTAGAATATAGTCTTAGGTGAACAACTCATTTCTCCCATCCTCTCCTACCTGGTGACACAGGTTTGACTTAACTCCATTGCGAACCCTTAGTTTCTGAGAAGCTATCCAGCAATTTCTTCACTCATAACTCTGAATTTATTATAGAACAAAGGAAGCCGGAATATTGGATTCTCACATCTCCAACAGAGATCTGCCCAAGAAATTGTTCATTGTGTTTTTCAACTGGTGACCCCAATGTGTAACCACCTGGAGAACATTCACAACTATTTTCAGGTCAGAAGCCTAGACTTAGAAGCCACTAAGCAAATATGAGGTTTTATTTTTGGCTGGGAAAAAGGAAAATGAGGACAATTACTGAAGCAACTGTCCTAAAATCATTTTTATTTTTAGTGTTTAGCTGCTGAGAATCATGGTGTAGTTGATGGACCAGGAATGAAAGTTCAGGAGTACCACATAATGTCTTCCTGCTATCAAAGGCTGCTGCAGATTTTTCATGGGCTTTTTGCTTGGTAAGTATGTGGGAAGTGTGGAGAGAAATGATTATATACTTGCTTTTACTTAACAGTCACCAAGGCACTGAAATGTAGAAAAGAAAGAAAAGGTTCAAAAACCTTATGTAAATATGGTTCTTTAATTTTGTGGGAGTGTTCTTGTCTGTATTATTTCATTTGATCTTATACCCTCTGAGTCCTTTGGAGTCACTATTGTTAACCATTTGACAAATTAGGTGACTTGCTGATGAGCTGACATATAACAGATCTGGCCATCTGATCCTCAGTCCAGTTTCCTTTAGCATGCTTTAATTCCAGATTGTTTGGTGACGAGCTGAACACAGTGTGAGCTGGACTATTCCATGATACCTTCATGGAAACAGTGGGACTCGAGGGAACCCCAGAAGGGTACATGGCCTTTAGAGAGATAAAGGAAGGAGGTGGAAGGTACAACATGGACAAAAGTAGAACTAAGGGAGGTGTGCCCCTTAAATACTTTTGTTCATCAGGGACAGACCTTGGGCTCTCTGTTCTCATTATACAAGATTTCTGGGCCGGGCGTGGTGGCTCAAGCCTGTAATCCCAGCGCTTTGGGAGGCCGAGACGGGCGGATCACGAGGTCAGGAGATCGAGACCATCCTGGCTAACACGGTGAAACCCCATCTCTACAAAAAAATAAAAAAAAAAAACTAGCCGGGCGAGGTGGCGGGCGCCTGTAGTCCTAGCTACTCGGGAGGCTGAGGCAGGAGAATGGCGTAAACCCGGGAGGCGGAGCTTGCAGTGAGCTGAGATCTGGCCACTGCACTCCAGCCTGGGCAACAGAGCGAGACTCCCTCTCAAAAAAAAAAAGATTTCTGGTCAATCCTACCCAAGCTTAAATTTAGCCAAAATTTATTTTCTGAGCTATAGGCATTTATATCCAACTGCCTACTCAACACCTCCTTAGATGTGTCATTGACACCTCAGACTCCACATCCAAAATGGAATGTGTCATCCCTAGCACGCTCCTTCAGCTTTGTCTGGCTTAGTACATGGTACCACCAATTGCCTGAACCAGAAACCAGGAGTTATTCTTTGTCCCTCCCTCTGCTCTCCACCGTCTTTTTCCCACATCTGATTGCCAAATCCTGTTGATTTTATTTTCTGTTATAAATAACATCCAGATAGCCATCTGTCCCTGTTTCTCCACTGCTTCCAAACTCCCATTATCTCTCAACCTGGACTGGGCTAGGTTCACACTTGGCCTCTCTCAGTCCATTCTTCACATGGCAGTAAGAGTGATCTTCCTAACATAAACCCAATTTGATCCTATCCCAATTTGGATTTCTGATTGCTCTTAGATTTTTCTTGAGTTAAAACTCTCTTACCTAGCCTCTAGGTCTTCTTCTGACTCCTGCTATTCCATTTATTATATTATACTCTGCCTCCAGCCTCACTGAGTTAATTTCAGCACCCCATATAGCTTTTATGTGGGAGACTTTGCACATGTTCATTCTCCTGCCAGGACCCCCACTCTTCTTGATCCCCAACTTTTTCTGACTCATCACATCTCTTGAGATCTGGACTTAAGCATCCATCCTGCCTCTCTAACCCCCAGTTCTCTTCTAACACTCTGGTATCCGTTCGTGATAAAACTTAATCTCATTTTATTATAATTACTTGTTCAGCAGTCTTTTCTGCTAGACTCTGAGCTCCATGAAGGCAGATGTCTGTCATTTTAATATCCTCAGTACTTAAAAGCAGTGCCTGACAAAAAATTTGAACAATTTATCGAGGAGACTTATAGATGGCACGTGTGAAAGGGGCCTGACATTGTGGTTTATGCCTGTAATCCCAACAGTTTGGGAGGCCAAAGTGGGTGGATAACTTGAGCTTAGGAGTTCGAGACCAGCCTGGGCAGCACGGCAAAATCCTATCTCTACAAAAAATACAAAAATTATCTGGGCATGGTGGCATGCATCTGTAGTCCCAGCTACTCAGGAGGCTGAGGTGACAGGATGGCTTGAGCCTGTGAGGCAGAGGTTGTAGTGAGCCAAGATTGCAACACTACACTCCAATCTGGGCAACAGAACCAGACCTTGTCTCAAAAAAAAAAAAAAAAAAAATCTGGGCACAATGGCCCAGCGAAGTTAACACAGAAAATAAACCATCTCTAAAAATTATAAAAACAATAATTAGAATAAATACATGAAAAGATGTTTATTTATTACTTCTTAAGGAAATGCAAATTAAAAGCACAATGAGATAGCACAACACACTCACTAGCATAGCTACATTAAAAAGACTTAGCATGCCAAGTGTTGGTGAGAATGTGGAGCAACGAGCTCTCACATGCTTCTAGGGGGACTTTACAATAGTACATCCATATTGAGAAATAGTTTGGTAGTTTCTTAAAAAGCTAGACGTGTACATACCATGTGACTCAGCCATTCCGTCTTTAGGTATTTAACCAAGGGAAATGAAAGCATATATCCACCAGGGTCTGGTACAGGAATATTTTTAGCAATTTAGCCTGTGGTTTTACATAGTATATTCTAAACTTGTTTCCCATGTTTGTGTGCGTGCGTGCGTGTGTGCATGTGTGTGTGTGTGTGTGTGTGTGTGAGAGACGGAGTCTTACTCTGTCGCCCAGGCTAGAGTGCAGTGGCGCAATCTCGGCTCACTGTAACCTCTGCAACCCAGGTTCAAGTGATTCTCCTGCCTCAGCCTCCTGAATAGCTGAGAATACAGGCGATTGCCACCGTGCCCGGCTAATTTTTGTATTTTTAGTAGAGACGGGGTTTCACCATCTTGGCCAGGCTGATCTTGAACTCCTGACCTCATGATCTACCCTCCCAAAGTGCTGGGATTACAGGTGTGAGCCACCACACCCGGCTTTTTTTTTTCCTGAGACAGGGTCTTGCTCTGTTGCCCAGGCTGGAGTGCAGTGACGCAATCGCAGCTCGCTGCAACCTCTGCCTTCCAGGCTTATAAATCCTCCCACCTCAGCCTCTCAAGCAGTTGGGACTGCAGGCATGTACCATCATACCCAGCTAATTTTTGTTTTTTTTTGTTTGTTTGTTTTTCTTTGGTAGAGACAGGGTTTCGCCATGTTGCCCCCAGGCTGGTCTCGAACCCCTGAGTTCAAGTGATCCACCTGCCTCAGCCTCCCAAAGTGCTGGCGTTAGAGGCGTGAGCCACCATACCTGGCCCAAATTCAACATTTTAAATACATGAAGTTTGCTGTACATCAATTATATCTCATTGAAGCTATGGTAGACATAAAACCTGACACCTAATAGGCCCTCAGAATACATTTGTTGAAAAGAAGAATTACTATCACTGGTGGTCGGGAAAATGCTTCTAGAGAAGATCTAGGAAGTCAGATTGTGCTGGGCGTCAAAAGTCAGGCAGAATAATTTAAATGTTGTCCAGGGAAGCCATTTTGGAGTTTTATGATCATAGCCATGATGCAATGAAAGCAGTGGTTTAGGAAAACCCATCTGGCAGCAGAGTGCAGGACAGATTGAAAAGGGATGCAAAAAGAACACTCAAAAATACATGTGTCACTATGATCTACACATGTATTGATAGGGGCCTGGCCAAAATGATGGTCTGGGCTTGGAAAGGAAGGGACAATATGCAAGGTAATCCAAAGATAGAAATGTCAAGACTTGACTGGTTAATGTAGGAGAATGGGTAAGTACCACTATGGGCTGGACATTGATTTAGCAGTTGGACAAAATTATTCCTATATTTTTGAAGAAGACTACCTATCTCTAAAATGTAGGGAATGAAGGAGAGCTTTTTGCCCTTGAAAATAAACCTATGGGCCAGGCATGGTGGCTCACACCTGTGACAAGAAAGAAGAAAAGAAACCTGTGAAGACTTCAGGAAAGATTACTTTGGATGTATTTCAATTTCTACTCTGATACTTAGAGCTGTGATTGAATTTGGTACTTCAGTACTTTCCATTTCAATTCTTTTTTCTTTTTTTTTTTTTTTTTTTGAGATGGAGTCTCACTCTGTCACCAGGCTGGAGTGCAGTGGCACAATCTCGGCTCACTGCAACCTCTGCCTCCCTGGTTCCAGCGATTCTCCTGCCTTAGCCTCCTGAGTAGCTGAGACTACGGGCGCCCACCACCACGCCCAGCTGATTTTTGTATTTTCAGTAGAGACGGGATTTCACCATGTTGGCCAAGATGGTCTCCATCTGTTGACCTCGTGGTTCGCCCGCCTTGGCCTCCCAAAGTGCTGGAATTACAGGCATGAGCCACCACGCCTGACCTCTCAATTGTTTTTTCAAACTGTTAAACTATTGATGGTATAGACTGGAGGCCAGGATCCTTAAATATTATCCAAGTAGTTTTCCAGAAACTAAGCTAACCCCTCTTACCTTGACTTCTTAGGAGTGGATTTTCTCAACCTGAAAATCAGAATTTACTGTATTCAGCCCTCCATGTCCTTAGTAGCCGACTGAAACAGGGAGAACACAGCCAGCCGTTGGAGGAACTGCTCAGGTGAGTCAGACTACATAGCCAAGATTGTTGTCTCAAGAAACTCCTAGGAACAGGATTGGCAACTTTCTTGAAAATACCTGGGTGTCTTTCAGTAGTTGTAAAGGAAATTATTTTCAGCTACTCTCCTCATATATGAGCGTTCTCATCTATATATTCTGATAAATCCTGAAGTATTAGAAGCCTTGAATAATCATGCTAAATCTTCATGAATGTATCAGCCCATAAACACAGCCTTTTCAAGTAATAATGATGAAAACATTGACCATCTGTAATCAACTCTTGATTATCCAGGGACCTACTGTCTCCCAGCAGGGTTGGGTAATTAGGCAGCAGCTAGTTATCACTGATAACCTGCTTCTTTCCCCTTGTCTTGTAGGAAGACCTTACATGGCTGAGGGGTAGGCAGTGGACAAGGGAGGTGAGATGATCTCAGGGGCATGGCTTTTCAGCCCCCTCCCCCTTCAGTTAGATTTGACTTGGTCTTTCTCTGACTTCCCTTGATAACCTAGACCATCACTGGGTCAGCAGTCAGTGCTTATCATCCCTGTCTATAGGTCGGGACCTTATTTCTTCTTTTATTTATTTTTATTTATTTATTTTTTTTTTTGAGAGAGAGAGTCTCACTTTGTCACCCAGGCTGGAGTGATCTCGGCTCACTGCAACCTCCGCCTTCCGGGCTCAAGTGCTTGTCCTGCCTCAGCCTTCCAAGTAGCTGGGATTACATGCGCATGCTGCCACACCCTGCTAATTTTTGTATTTTTGTAGAGATATTTTCACCATGTGGCCAGGCTGGTCTCTAATTCCTGAGCTCAGGTGATCTGCCTGTCTCAGCCTACCAAAGTGCTAGGATTACAGGCATGAGCCACCATGGCCGGCCTGTGAACCCAGATTTTAAAAATTATTTTCAGTGTATTGCCTAAGGCTTTAAAGAGCAGATAATTTATCTAGGGTTGTGCATATTAGCGTGATGCTTGGGTTTCTTAGCATACATGACCCCTTCAAGGCCAACATTCCATCCATGGGGCTGTCTTCTGCCCTGGCTTTTTCCATACAAAGGTATGGTTTTCTACCGAGATGCTTGAAGAGGGTTGCTACTAAAGCACCTGAAAATAAGGAGGATTCTGATTAGGCCATCAAACACTTAAAGGGACTTGGGCACGTCATGTGGATTTAAATATATCTGTAATACATAGGATATTATTGCATTTGTTTGTTTTTCTTGTCTTCTTACAGCCAGAGCTTCCATTACTTGCAGAATTTCCATCAAAGCATTCCCAGTTTCCAGTGTGCTCTTTATCTCATCAGACTTTTGATGGTTATTTTGGAGAAATCGACAGCTTCTACTCAGAACAAAGAAAAAATTGGTGATGGGCCCCAGATCCTTTTTTTTTTTTTTAATGAATAGGACTAATATCTCACACTTGTAAACTTGGGGCTTCCCAGGACATTTTTACATGTAAATCCCCACATAACCTCAGACAGGCCCTCTTGCTATACCAAGAAGGTCATTTTCCCAGAACAACCTGACTGATTTCTGCTAAAATTGCTTAGTTTTCTCTTTGGCTTAAGTTTAATCATGTTCTTCCTTTTCAAAAAAAAAAAAAAAAAAATTATCTGAGACATTTGACAAAACTACACAAACTATGAGGTTAATAAAGTAGGAGATAAAGGAGAAGTCAGGGTCAAGTGTAAAAGAAATACTAGCCTCTTCCCTGGCCTTTTTCTTTTCTTTTCTTTTCTTTTTTTTTTTTGAGATGGAGTCTAGCTCTGTCACCCAGGCTGGAGTACAATGGTGCGATCTTGGCTCACTGCAACCCTCCACCTCTGAGGTTCAAGCAATTCTTCTGCCTCAGCCTTTCAGGTAGCTGGGATTACAGGCATGCACCACCATGCCTGGCCAATTTTTGTATTTTTAGTAGAGATGGGGTTTCACCAAGTTGGTTGGGCTGGTCTCAAACTCCTGACCTCGTGATCCGCCTGCCTCGGCCTCCCAAAGTGCTGGGATTACAGGCGTGAGCCACTGTGCCCAGCCCTGGCTTCTTTCTTTAACTGTCTTTTGTTATAGCTCTTAGAATGCAGCTCATCCTAGTTTGCAGCACATCAGAAAGTAAGATAAAAATGCAAAACAAACCTTTATTTTTCCCTATTGATTAAAAGGGGAAGGTTTGGTCTGAATCTTGGAGGTGACCACTGCTATTGGCCAGCTCAGGAGGAACAAGATTGGCCTTCCCACTGCCCAGCAGCATTCCTTTTCTCTGTGTGTCTGTATTTATGTTCATGTTTGCATGTTTGTGTGTTTCAGGATGGGGTTGGGGTGGGACGTGTTGAGCCTTAGACAAATGAGTTTATGTCTGGCAAAAGGGCCAGGGGTTCAGGAACATGACAGCTTTTTGTAAGTTGCCTGTTAGACCGGGAACGTCTTAGTAAATGTAAACTAATAATCCTTTTGATCGATATCCTCAAAAGCCTGAAAAGCAAGAATGAGGTCAAGTTCCCATATGTAAGATTCCTTTGTCTTCTTTTCTAACAGCTTCCCTTGCCAGACAATTCCTCTGTCGGGTATGGCCAAGTGGGGATAAAGAGAAGAGCAGCATCTCTAATGACCAGCTCCATGCTTTGCTCTGGTGAGATGTTTGGTTTCTTCCAATGAGCCAAATAGCCATTTTCTATTTTGCTACTGTTTTTTGTCAGAGACTGGACAAATGACCTTTTTAGTGGGAATTTGAAAACAATGAAGTAGGTTAAAAATGAACACAATTTGGAACATGTGGATCTTAAGATCCTCTGGTTCTGTTTTATGCTGTCAGCTAACTGCTTATTGTTAATTCAGATCATAGAGGAATTTGAGGAATCTGCATTGTATTCTACTTTGTTAATCAGTGGGTCAAATATTTGACTCTCAATGCAGTATCTACCTGGAGCACACAGATAGCATTCTGAAGGCCATAGAGGAGATTGCTGGTGTTGGTGTCCCAGAACTGATCAACTCTCCTAAAGATGTGTCTTCCTCCACATTCCCTACACTGACCAGGTAAGGGAGTTCTTTCCTCCAGTTTTTCCCTTAAGATAGAATCATCGTCAGACTGGGCGCGGTGGCTCACCCCTGTAATCCCAGCACTTTGGGAGGCTGAGGCAGGCGGATTACCTTGAGGTCAGGAGTTTGAGACCCACCTGGCCAACACAGTGAAACTCCGTCCCTACTAAAAATACAAAAATTAGCTGGGCGTGTAATCCCAGGTACTTACAAGGCTGAGGCAGGAGAATCGTTTGAACCTGGGAGGCAGAGGTTACAGTGAGCCGGGATTGCGCCACTGCACTCCAGCCTGAGCCCCAAGAGCGAAACTCCATCTCAAAAAAAAGAATCATCATCACACTGTCCAATGTATGTAGCTTCCACACAACTGCTTTGCTCCTCCTCATCTAATTCTGATATAGACAGTAGATATATTCATTCATTCAATAAAGAGAGTTTGCTATGATTCCTTTTAAGGGCTCTCAGCTAATACATTTGAGAGGACCCTGGTGGTTTTTGTTTTGTATTGTTTTGTTTTTGAGAAAACTTGCCACCCAGGCTGGAGTGCAGTGGCGCAATCTCAGTTCACTGCAACCTCTGCCTCCTGGGTTCAAGCGATTCTCCTACCCCAGCCTTTCAAGTAACTGGGATCATAGTCACCCACCACCACACCCGGCTAATTTTTGTATTTTTAGTGGAGATTGGGTTTCACCATGTTGGCCAGGCTAGTCTTGAACCCGACCTCAGGTGATCTGCCTGCCTCGGCCTCCCAAAGTGCTGGGATTACAGGCGTGAGCCATTGTGCCCAGCTGAGATATTTTAGCCATCTTAAGAACAGGGTGCTGACATGTATGTCTCACTTAATGGGTTTGTGTCTCAGAATATCAATAGTTATCTTAACATTTGTAGTCTTTTCAGTTTATAAAGCACTTTTACTTTATCTCGTTTGATCCTTTTGATAATTCTGTGAGGTCTTTGGTATCATTGCCCCTATTTTACTGTTGAGAAAAATGAGAGCTAGGGAAATTCTCAAGCTTACACGTGCAATAAAATAAACATAGAACCAGGACTCAAACTCAGATCTTCTCACTGTTACTTCACTGCTTTTTCCATACTACCATACCACATCCTTTCATAAAGTTAATTCCATTGTTTGACAGGCAATCTTCTTGGACCTATTACTGAGTCCCTATTACTGAGTCCTTTCCACTCCCCCATCCTCTTCCTAAGGACCCTAGTGAAAGGACATTTAGAGAGGTAGGGAAGGAAGATACTTTTGGTTCCTGATTCTTCCCAAGTAGTTCTAAGCAGTACATCATGGCGTAGGCATGCATGCTTTTCTCGTCTTCTAGGCACACTTTTGTTGTTTTCTTCCGTGTGATGATGGCTGAACTAGAGAAGACAGTGAAAAAAATTGAGCCTGGCACAGCAGCAGACTCGCAGCAGGTGAGTAAGATATAGTCACTTCAAGAAGTGGACTTTGGATTACTTAGAAGTTGCTGATTCTTTTTTTTTTTTCCTTTCCCTGAGACAGAGTCTTGCTTGCTCTGTTGCCCAGACTGGAGTGCAGTGGCATGATCTCGGCTCACTGCAACCTCGCCTCCTGGGTTCAGGCAATTCTTCTGCCTCAGACTCCTGAGTAGCTGGGATTACAGGCATGTGCCACCACACCCGGCTAATTTTTGTATTTTTTAGTAGAGACAGGGTTTCACCATGTTGGCCAGGCTGGTCTCGAACTCCTAACCTCATGATACACCCGCCGCGGCCTCCCAAAGTGCTGGGATTACAGACATGTGCCAGTGCGCCCGGTAGAAGTTGCTGATTCTATTTCTTGGGTCCAAGTTTTCTCCTAAGCTGTTTTTTGTTTTGTTTTGTTTTGAGTTTCTGAGATTCAGGATTTTTTTCAAAGAGTTCCTAGTTTAATTTCCTTTCCCTCTAGTTAGAGATGAGGAATGGGCTCTGTTTTCCTTGGCTACTGCCCAGTTTGCCTCCTGTTAACTGACATGAGGTAAGCCAGTCTGTTTGAGATACTGTGGATCTTGGCAGCCTGCTAACCAGAACAGAGCTACACAAGTAAAGAGCTAGCATAGGGAAGCAGAGAAGCTACAGCCAATATATGTTTTTTCTTTTTCTTTTTGAGACAGGGTCTAAGTCTGACATCCAGGTTGGAGTACAGTGATGCAAACTTGGCTCACTGCAACCTTTGCCTTCTGGGCTCAGATGATCCTCCCACCTCAGCCTCCTGAATAGCTGGGACCACAGGTGCACGCCACCATGCCCGGCTAATTTTTCTATTTTTAGTAGAGGCAGGGTTTTGTCATGTTGCTCAGGCTGGTCTTGAACTCTTAGGCTCAAGCAATCTTCCAGCCTCAGCCTCCCAAAGTGCTGGGATTATAGGCATGAACCACTACACTTGGTCTGATGGCCAGTACGTGTTGCAAAGGCTTTTACTTACTTGGGAATTGCTGAAGAGGAAACTTTTTAGAATGTCTGTCTCTATGAGGTGTTCTAATGTTACCACAACATGTGCAGGCCTCAGAACCATCTTGTGGATGCACTGGTTGCTACATCTCTTGGGAAGGATAATTGGCTTAAATATCTGTATAGCTAGTAATTCAAGAACTATATCTTAGTGGGAATATACTAAGGGAAGTATCTGGCTATGACTCAGAGGTGCCCATATATTTGGCTGCCCCAGATTCATGAAGAGAAGCTCCTCTACTGGAACATGGCTGTTCGAGACTTCAGTATCCTCATCAACTTGATAAAGGTGAGTATGGAGGCTCCTTGACCCATCTCACCAAATAACTGCAGAAACCAAGTGTCCTGGCTTCCAAAATGGACTGTCCTTGCTCCTTTTCCCACTCTTCCTTGGGGCCTGCTCTCCCTGAATTGTCTTCTTCCTTTGTCCCCGTACCCGTCCTGGATAACCCTTTTTCTCACTAGGCATTTTTTTTTTTTTTGCCTCTTCCTTTCTTCCTTTTACTTATGCCACAATACTATTTAATGACTCCTTCCATCTGTAATTTCTTCACTTTTTCACCTTGCCTTGGGTCCTCTGTGATCTGAGCACACATTCCCTCTTCTAACCCTGAAAGCCCTCGTTCTCCTGTAAACACACTGTACTCTCACCGACTCCATTGTGGTTTTGCTCAGCTTGTTCCCCCAGCCTAGAATGTCCTTGCCTCTCCTTTCCGTCTCTCTCATGTCTTTTTGTTTTTGTTTTTGTTTTTGTTTTGAGGCAGGATCTCACTCTGTTGTCCAGGCTGGAATGCAGCAGGGTGATCACAGCTCACTGCAGCCTCAATCTCCTAGACTCAAGAATCTTCCCACTTAAGCCTCTGGAGTAGCTGGGACTACAGGCACATGCCACCATACCCAGCTAATTTTTCTATTTTTTATAGAAACGGGGTCTCATTCTGTTACCCAGGCTGGCCTCGAACTCCTGGGCTGAAGTGATACACCAGCCTCCGCTTCCCAAAATGCTGGGATATCAGGCATGAGCCAGCATGCCCAGCCTCATCCAGTCTTTCTTAAGTCTTCAGATCAAGGTTTTGGACCTCTAATAATGCCATCTTCTGAACACTTCCAGTTGGAATCAGTTTATTTCTCTTTGCTCTTCTCTTCCTTTTCTTGAACTCCAGTTGTGATCATTACTTTATTCTGCTTTGTAATATTAATTTAAATGTTGACATTCCTCCATTTTAGTATTCTCTACAGAACCCAAAGCTGTGTTTTGCGCAGTGGGAAACAGGCTGGAGTGCTCAAAGGAGCAGATCTCAGCCTTGGTTTCTTGTCTTTCACCTCTCCAGGTATTTGACAGTCATCCTGTTCTGCATGTATGTTTGAAGGTGAGAGATTTACTGGGCCCTGTTTCATATTCTTCCTGTGGATCACTCTAGAGAGGACCTCAGCTAAGATAAATTGCTCAGTTTCTTGCCCACAAGCCAGAGTTTCCAGAATCTGTGCCAGTTTAGGGAAGGCAATGGATACATTTTCCCACACTAGTTGGATGATTGGAGAAGCCAGTTTTCCTATGAATTTGAAAACTTTTGGTAAGAATCTTAGTACTAGGAGGAATGGCTTCAGGGCAGTTGAGTTTAGGAGCAGTAGTTACCTTCCCTGCCATTCCTTACCAGGCAAAAGGGAGGAAGGAGTAGATGATTCTTCTTTAAAGTCTATGTGGTGGCCTTACAAATGTGGGATCTGATATCCTGAGAATTGTCAAACTTCTCTTTCATGGGAATAGCCTGTATTAGCCCTAGATTTGATGGGAAGTCCAGTCGGAATGTTATGGGGAGAATGCTACTTCCCCACTCCTGAAGTTTCCTTCCAAGTGGATGGTGCCCCATTCTTGTTATCTGCTGGTCACTCTCTCCCTTTTTACTCCACCCTTGCGCAGTGTGGGAGCTGGACGAGTTGGAAAGAGGAGTGATTTATCTGATTGGGAAGTTTAGAAATTGGTCATATGCTTCCTCAGCTTTACCCAGTTTTTCCCTCTTGGGAGTAAGTTATCCTTAGATACAGCTCCCCTCTACTCCTCTATGCTCTCACTCCTAAGCTGAGCAAGTTCCCTTTCCATCCACTGTATCTGTGGTAGGTAAGTCTGCCTAATTCTGGGGCTTAGTTAACAGGCCTATTTGATTTTTGTGTTAAGTTACATTCTCCAAATAAACCTTTTGGACCATTCCCAATTTGTTTTTTATATATATAAATAAGAAAATAAAACCCTTGGGCAGAATGAGGCTATTCTGCCTCAGAAAGGGGCCTTTCAGTGAGATACCTCAGCTAGAGATAACAATGTGTCTCTCTTCTTCAGTACGGACGTCTCTTTGTGGAAGCATTTCTGAAACAATGTATGCCGCTCCTAGACTTCAGTTTTAGAAAACACCGGGTAAGAGCTAAGAGCAGAGAACAAAGATATGCACTGAAGAGTTGCTCAGAAGTTATGTCCATGGTGACTCCTGGGTGAGGCTGGGAGTGTTCTACCTGGGTTCCTCTGGTCCACTTCAGCTATAGCCAGAGATCCCCAAATAGGACTGAATATTCCAAAGTAGGCTGAACTCCTCAGACCCACTCTGGATCAAACCCACCTTTCTACTTCTTCTCCAGATCCGACAGTGGTTTTCCTTTTAGCTTGATTTTATTGTGCTACTGCACTCTCAGGTCCTCATGTATCAGTGTGTCATTTGCTTATTCCATTATGCTTCTGTAGGTATACTCAGAAATGATTTAAAAAAAAAAAAAAAAGTTCCTTTGTGTCATAAAACCCTTTGCTGTGGTAGTGAACATTCTTGACAGTTTTTTAGCCAATGGCACCCAGGGCTAGAGTGATGAAGTAAGGATAGAATCAGATTATTTCCTTTACATACTTAGCAAGTTGAACAAACCACTCACCATATTTGGTTGGTCCCTCATAGCCCTGAAAGAGAAAAGGAAGGTGGTATTTTATCCTAATGTTGCAGATGGGAAAACTGAGACATGGTAACCTATGTAAAACTAAAATGCAGGTCTTATAACTCTCAGATTTATACAAGGGACAGAAATGGGAGAGTTGAGAATAAGCGGTAGCTGCTATTCCTCCTATTTGAGAGGCAAATTAAGATGATTATCAGCATAGGCTGGAACCTGCAGAGTTTATCCTCTTTGGAGCTTTTGATTCCAAGGGTATACTGAATCTAAAATGAAATCAGTACATTTCATAGAGCATTTATAAACTTATTGGTTATAGGAAGATGTTCTGAGCTTACTGGAAACCTTCCAGTTGGACACAAGGCTACTTCATCACCTGTGTGGGCATTCCAAGGTAAGAAGGGGAGCAGATCCTATCAGCAGCCTGCCTGTTGGCTTAATCTGCAGTTGCTATTGGGAGATCCATGGGCTGTCGTCCTTCTTCATTTATATCTGGGACTGTGTCTGTCCAAAGGCAGTTTATTCAGAGCAAATCCTTAGTTGCTGCTTGAGATTGGGCAGTCCTCTAGAGGGGAATCTCTGCATCTGAAATTTGATTCAAACTCCAAAGCTCTTTTTCCTCTAGAAACTTCTTGGGTGAGAGGAATAGAATGCTGGTATATGTTTACTTCTGCAAAGTCCCCTAGGCGACAGGACTGTGATGTAAGTGATGATCCTGCAGGAGACAGGAGGTGGCTCTAAAGCAGCCATCTGTAGAGGCTTTCATCTGTGCTACTTACTTTCAAGGAATGCATCTGTGTCTTTTGAGAACATCTTAGCATTAAAGGATTTTTCCACTTGAAGCCTTCTTATAGTTAATGAGGTATTGTCACGTTTTGTCTGAATGAACGTAGAACCCTAGAGTTCTGCAGTCGCTGGCAAACCAAATGATTCTTGAGTCCAGTTTCTGTTACTTACTTCCTCTTCTGGTTCTAAATGTGTAAGGTCCTGAAGAGTGAAATTTTTTTTTTTTTTTTTGAGATGGAGTCTCGCTTTGTAGCCCAGGCTGGAGTGCAGTGGTGCAATCTCTGCTCACTGCAAGTTCCACTTCACGGCTGCACAGTGAATTTTTAAGGAATTCTCTTAGCTAAATAGGGCTACTCTATTGTTTAATATCAGTAAAATATATATTCAAGAACATTTTAGGTAAATTCATTGATGATCGGCCAGCAAGAGGTTATGAAGAGGAACCAGAGGTGGTAGTGGTATGTCTTCTAGGCTTTGAATTATTTAGCTGCCATTGTCTTTGGATTACTCTGCCAAGCTATTCCTGTTCGATGGAACATACTGTTGGTCCATATTGGCGGGGCTTATATCCTTATTCAGTATTCAAAGGTTTCTATAAGAAATATGAAGGCATGATGATAAACTCACAAAAGATGGATGTTATTTATCTCCATTCAGATTCACCAGGACACGAGACTCACACAACATGTGCCTCTGCTCAAAAAGACCCTGGAACTGTTAGTTTGCAGAGTCAAAGCTATGCTCACCCTCAACAATTGTAGAGAGGCTTTCTGGCTGGGCAATCTAAAAAACCGGGACTTGCAGGTAAGCCTTGGATCCTGCTAGTGGTAATTCTCCAATCTTATTCTTTGTGACAGCATCAGATGGCATGTAAGGCAGTTCACCTAAGCCCTGGTCTCTCAGTAAGGCTACTTTTCTCTTAAGTCTGTGACTGTTGAACTCTTAAAGTTATGATACATTGCTCATGGGCCCTAGTCACAGGCTATACCCCTCATCTTAGGCAGCAAGGCACCAAAACATGCCATTGATACAAACAATGCCTCAGACATAAAGGAGTCAGACCAGCACAAACCTCTCTCCACAGCCAGAGGGGCTCCTTTAAGCCCCACTGAGGGTAGATTCATAATAACATTTTTGTATAGGGACAAACATTTCTTTTGTTTAGTTATACTAAACCAATCTGTCTTATTCCGGAAATTATAAATTAATCTCTAATTTTAACTAATGAGCATTTGTAAGGTTTTTTAATTGTCTGATTAACTGAAATCTTGTGTTGTTTATAATACTACTTTGGAGTTACAACATTTTTCAGATAGGGTCGTATAAGCCCTTTTCTTTCATGCTTAAAATATCTGAGTCTTACAGTCAGTTATATATGAAATATATAAAATAGCACCACAGAGAATTAACTTCCTTTCTTCACATCAACCTTATGAGGCAGATACTATTGTTTCTTCGTAAAAATTGAAACTCAAAGAAGTTAAGTAATTTACCTAATGTCGTTCAACAGAAAGTGAGTGGAGCCACGGTTTGAGTCCAAACAGTCCTAAATCCAGACTTGATGCTCTTAAACATTTCACTGTACTGTCCTTTAGCCTCTGCATGGCCTTTCGTAGTTGGTGTAATGGTGCTTATATACTTTAAGGTATTTGGGAAATTTTAGAACCATGTTCAGCATCAACTTAGAGTCACCAGTACAATCTAGCCTTTTAAAATGTAGTGTGATGCTAGCATACCAAGATGAACCTTTTGTTACATTACTTTTTATATCAGAGCCACAGACATCTCAGAAACCTGGAGTTGAGTATCCCTCCTCTAGATGCTGAATCACAAGTTGGTATCCATGTTTGACTGTGTTTTGAATGGCTAGAATATCTTCCTTTGTATTGCCTGTAAACTCAACCTTCTCCCCTATTACCCTAAATGTGGTCATTATAACCCACAATTTTCTTGGTCCATTCACATTTAGGGTGAAGAGATTAAGTCCCAAAATTCCCAGGAGAGTACAGCAGATGAGAGTGAGGATGACATGTCATCCCAGGCCTCCAAGAGCAAAGCCACTGAGGTATCTCTGCAAAAGGCACCAGAGTCAGGCACTGATGGTTGCATTTTGTTAATTGTTCTGAGTTGGTGGAGCAGAACTTTGCCTACTTATGTTTATTGTCAAGTACTTCTATGCCCATTTCCATTCCCTCCATAACAGCTTCTGTGCTTGTATAATTTTTTGGGACCCAGAAAAAACAACCACACAATCTTAGAATCGCTACTGAGTATCTCGAGTTGTGGCATTTGTTATAGAGTTGACAATTCTCTGCATTATAGCCTCTCATTTTCCATGAATCCATATCTGAAATCATTTTAGAAGGGAGAAGTCATCGAAGTATTTTCTGAGTGTTGAAAAGAATGAGTTAAACCATTTAAACACATTTGAAACATACGAAAATAGAAATGTGAAAGCATTTGGTGAAAGCCAAAGCACAGAGTCAGAAGCTGCCACCTTAGAGAACTGAAATAAAAATAGAAGTTCTTACTCTTTTTTGTGGTACAGATGCTTTTGAGAATTTGAAGAAAGCTAAATAAAAATGTATACATGGCTGGCGCAGTGGCTCATGCTTGTAATCCTAGCACTTTGTGAGGCCAAGGTAGAACTGCTTGAGCCCGGGAGCTCAAGACCAAGCTGCACAACATAACAAGACCCTATCTCCACAAAAAAATGAAAAATAAGCCCGGGTGTGGTGGCTCACGCCTGTAATCCCAGCACTTTGGGAGGCCGAGGTAGGCAGGTCACAAGGTCAGGAGTTCAAGACCAGCCTGGCCAACATAGTGAAACCCCATCTCTACTAAAAATACAAAAATTAGCTGGGTGTGGTGGCACGCACTTGTAGTCTCAGCTACTTGGGAGGCTGAGGCAGGAGAATCACTTGAACCTGGGAGGTGGAGGTTGTGGTGAGCTGAGATCCCGCTGCTGCATTCTAGCCTGGGCAACAGAATGAAAAAAAAAAAAAAAAAGCGTACATTTATAAAATTTTGTCACAATTCAGGTAGGTTATAGACACCAAAATCTCAGATTTAAGAACCCCTGCTGTGGGGCCTCTGTCTATAATGCAATTTGAGTCTGATCCAGAAAGATCATTTAGTATGAAAAGTCTGGCCTGGTAGGGTGGCTCACACCTGTAATCATAGCACTTTGTGAGGCTAAGGTGGGAGGACTGCTTAAGCCCAGAATTTCAAGACCAGCTTGAGACCCCATCTTTACAAAAAAAATTTTTTTGAGCTAGCCAGGCATAGTGACGCATGCCTATGGTCCCTGCTACTCAGGAGGCTGAGGTGGGAAGGTTGCTGAAGCCCAGGAGGTGGAGGCTGCAGTGAACCATCATCACACTCCAGCCTGGATGACAGAGTGAGACCGTGTCTCAAATTTAAAAAGTTCTTTTATTTACATGGTCCACAGTTTTATTTGTATAATATACCCCTTCCACCTTTTTCTCAGAGAATTTGAGGCAGACAGTATCCTATTAGTTTGGTACTTTCCCCTAAGCAAATCTCTCATACTAGAATTGTAAGCCAGACAGAACAGAATTTTGTACTGGATTCCTGTTGAGATACACCAGCACAGCACTTCTTTTTTTGAGACAGAGTCTCCCTCTGTCGCCCAGGCTGAGGTGCAGTGGTGCAATCTTGGCTCCCTGCAATCTGTCTCCCAGGTTCAAGCAATTCTTCTGCCTCAGCCTCCCAAGTAGCTGGGATTACAGGTGACTGCCACCATGCCTGGCTAGTTTTTGTATATTTAGTAGAGACAGGGTTTCACCATGTTGAGCAGGCTGGTCTCGAACTCCTGACCTCAGATGATCCATCCACCTCAGCCTCCCAAAGTGTTGGGATTATAGGCATGAGCCACCGTGCACTGCCATAGCACCACTTGTAATAAATATTTCATTCTATATTGAATGCCCTCTTTGTTCCTATGTCATATACATGAAGTAGAGCTGGAGGACCATGGCTTGTTTAAAATTATGCAAATTGGGCTGGGTGCGATGGCTCAGGCCTGTAATCCCAGCCCTTTGGGAGGCTGAGGCAGGCGGATCACCTGAGGTCAGGAGTTTGAGACCAGCCTAGCCAATGTGGCGAAACCCCATCTCTACCAAAATACAAAAATCAGCAGGGCGTGGTGGTGCATGCCTGTAATCCCAGCTACTTGGGAGGCTGAGGCAGGGGAATCACTTGAACCTGGGAGGCGGAGGTTGCAGTGAGCTGAGATCACGCCACTGCATTCCAGCCTGGCAACAGAACAAGACTCCTTTAAAAAAGTAAATAAAAGTTTTAACAGTGACAATAGTACAGTTGTGTATCCTCTAGGAACTGTATTCCAGAGGTCACCCAGAGCAGTAACCTAAAATACTTATTTATTCTTTGCCCCTTAGGATGGTGAAGAAGACGAAGTAAGTGCTGGAGAAAAGGAGCAAGACAGTGATGAGAGTTATGATGACTCTGATTAGACCCCAGACAGATTGTTGCCCGCTTCTGTGTCTCTGCCAGCCACTGATCATTTTGTGTTTAGAGTTTGAAATCCGCTGTTTACCTTTCTTACTGGAAGGATCCTTTTTTTGTTCCTCTATTTTTTTTTTTTTCCTAAGACGGAGTCTCACTGTGTCGCCCAGGCTGGAGTGCAGTGGCGTAATCTCGGCTCACTGCAACCTCCACCTCCTAGGTTCAAACGATTATCATGCCTCAGCCTCCTGAGTAGCTGGGACTACAGGAACACGCCACCATGCCCGGCTAATTTTTGTATTTTTAGTAGACACAGGGTTTCACCATGTTGGCCAGATGACCTCCAAGTTGGCCAGGCTGGTCTCCAACTTCTGCCTTGAAGCAAGCCGCCCTCCTCAGCCTCCCAAAGTGCTGGGATTACAGGCATGAGGCACCACACCCGGCCATCTTTTGTTCTTAAAGTGGGGGCTTTATTGACTTGTGGACATCATGGATTATCTAACATCATCACAGTCCCTGGCTCAGGATTCTAATGTAGCATTATTTATTGGTTTGGATAAACCTAGCTGTGCTACACTGCAGAGTAAAATCTCTGAGTCATGATTCTGGACTTTGGGAGCTAGTTTTGAAACTAATTTATTCTAGAACTTAGGCTTGTACCAATTTTACAAATAAATTCTCTTCTAAGTTCTGCTTCAGCTGCCTCATTTATCTTTCTGGATTTGCTTCATTATTCAAGGATTAGGTGGAATTGAATTGAGATTTGTGCAGAGAAATTATGGAGACTGGTGCTAACATAGTTCTGCCGATTAAAATCATGTCTCCTGGCCGGGTGCAGTGGCTCATGCCTGTGATCCCAGCACTTTGGGAGGCTGAGGCGGGCGGATCACGAGGTCAGGAGATCGAGACCATCCTGGCTAACACGGTGAAACCCCGTCTCTACTAAAA